TAGTACAGAATTCTTGCTATCACCTGAAATTCTGCTTCCACTCAACTGATTATTTTTTTCAACCTACCATATTGATGTGGATGTCAGGTGCCTTAGTGTAAGGGATACCTTGCTTTCCCAAACATAAGATACTTGCAAAAAAAATTTCCAACTATCTCATCTGCCCTCCAGTCCCTAAATTACTAATTCTAATTCACATCTGAATCCGAGAACCATCCTTTAAGTTATACATATATTCACATACTATACACACATTGTTGACCTCCTTGGACATTTCCAGAGACCTAGTAAATAAATCAACACTATCAAAAAATCTGTCACCAGAAAAACTAATAAAGCAGCAGTTTGATATCTGGTACCCTGCCATGAAAGATCTGAATTGTCTTTGACCAACTGCATTGCAAACACTATTCAGGTAGCATTTCAAATGTCATTGATGAGATTTCATAATTTGAGGCAAATATCCAGTTTCCCTTTTCTAAACAGTGAGGAAGCATTTGTAGGATTATGTAAGAAACCCTCTTATAAAGAGCTCAAATGTCCCAGTTCTGCTGTTATGCTGAACGCTGCAACTCTCAAGTGGTATGACATTAGAGGCTACCAGGCATTTTTTAATTTGACATCACTTCTGATAAGCAAATGAGTAAAAGTGAATCACTCTCAAACTCTTTCTGTACAAGCCTGATTTTGACAGTTTCTCAACCTCAGCTGCTTCATAAAGTATGGATTCTGGCTTTAATTTCTTATGCATTCAACAGAGAGAAAAAATACTCACGAAGACAAAAGCAACAGATGGGGAAGGCTTGAAGTCAGGTTAATTCCTGAACACGTTTCTATGTATTCTTTTTAAAGAGAAAAAAACCCTCCAACCTTTCAATACATCATCTCTTCAGCACCTTTTGACTTACAAGCTCTAAAATGTTTTTTTTTTCAGTTACTCTAATTACTAGTGCTTCTAAGGACTCTGAGCAATAGTGGAAGGACAGTGTTGCTTATTATTAGTCTAAAGATTTGAACCACAACCCATCAGTGGCTGACAGACTTTAAAATTATCTGTATTCTAGCAAAATTCTTGCTGCTTGTGAGGTATTGCCAACTCATAATGAGACCCGGCCCTGGTAGAAGTCCTAAAGCTCAAAATACAGAGCCATGTGTTTTTGTAAAGGCAAATATAATCATACATTTTAGGAACAACAGAAGCACGCCATATTTATAGCATGAAGGGCTGTACCTTAGACAGCATTTATTGTGAAAAAAACCCATCAGAAACAAAGTACACAATCAATCGAATACAAATTGCTGTTGATATTATTGCCAAGGGTATTAATTTTATCTTTGGATAAAAAAAAAAAATAGGGATAGATCATATATAAACAGGCATTTCTATATTAAGAGGGATTTAGACAGCCTTAGCAAAATCATCATTTTGGTGTCAAAAGACACTGGTAATTTGGAAAAGGTTTAGATAGAGATCACTAAGATAATTTAAGGCCTGGAAACATGCTTTATAGTGAAAGACTTGAGAAGCTCATGGAAGAGAAGGGCAAATGGCAACGTGAATACAGTCTATCACTACCAACACAAGAAAAAATCATAATGTAGTCTGACAGCTGGTAGCTGAATCTAGAAAAAATTATAAATGGGAAATAAAGAGAAAATCTTTTTTTGAAAAATAAAGATAGTGGGGTAAATAACCACTGAACCTGCTTGGCAGGGATGCAATAAGTCAGTAATTCTGTACCAGGGTGCTGTGGTCATTTCAAAGTTGCCACGGGCTGCCACAGCGTTAGAACTGTTAGGTTTGCAAACATGGTTCACAAAATAGACCCAGAGATTTCACACTGAAATCCACAGTTGTGGGATTCCTGAGTTCTTTGCAAGAGAAAAATTGCTCTATTATTTTTCTGGAGTAAAAAAAAAAATAGTAACACCTAGGAGCTGGCACTTTCCCAGGGGTGCCTCAAGTCTAAACAGGTTAAGAACTACCGTGACAGATTCTTCACTGTAGTCTTCTGCTGAAGATTAGCTGTCCTAAATTATATGCTTTAGTTTGTTCACAAATTACTAGGATAATGCAAGGCTATATCCAATGCAGATCAGTCAGGGGATCATAATGTTCCTTTCTGTTACTATAATTAAGAATATTTGATTTAAATCTCTACTGCTCAGTAGATTTAAGTGAGTAACATGCACAGTTTTTTAATTTCATATATGATTATAAAAAAGTCTATTATAAGATAATGCAGTACTCCACAGGTAACATATATATTGTCCGTTTTTCTTTTATTTCTTTTTTTTTTTTTTTTTAAAGGAGGAGACAAATAATCATTATGATAGAAATGCAAATACTTAAGATGTTTAATCAATAGAAAACCAACTTTGTCTTGCTTGTGCTGATTTTGTTAGCTTCTGAAATCAGTTTAGTCTCCAATAATCAATATGGCAGCCTTAATTCTTTGTTTAGCTATATTCCTGAATGCTTTTACTCCTGTACCATGACTTTTCTATCCTTAATGAAGAACACGAAGCTAGGAAAAGAAAATGCTGCCTTCAAAGGGATAAATATCACTCAGACTAAGAATCTGATTATTAGAATGGCAAAACTTACCAATTGGTTTGTAACAAACTTATAGCATAAAACAATACAGCAGATTTTTTTCCAGAGAAAAATCGAGGCTTAGAAATAAATAGTATTTACCCAGATGCCATGTTGACATGTTTCCATGGGTACTAAGCTTGCTTTCCAGAATTTTAGGGTTTTTTACTACAAATTTAAATCTCTGGCTGTTAAGCATTAGAGAATACAAGCCTCAAGCATGTACCCCAAAGGTAACTAAACTAGCAATACAGTTTCAAAAGCCATAACTCTAAAAGGTGAAACCATACAATTCTGTTCATGAAGGGTTACCTCAGATGGTCAGTGATAATAAGCTCAGAATTTTGAGTTAGCTATTTTATTCCTTATAAATGAAAGAGGTGGTAAGAAATAAGACTGCTATACTACTTACTGTAAGTAATGACTCATTTTAACATTACAAGTTAAAGATGTTTAAGATCTAACCCACTTTGTTTCCTTCCAATCAAGTAACAGCCAAGCAACAACCCAAACTACTCAGCTGGATCCTATTTGGTAACATGAGATGAGCCTAATCTGCAGGTGAAACTTGGAAAAGCAATACATACCTCTTTTACCCCTATTCTGACCCCTAGGAAAAACTATAACAATGTCCTTACATACCCATTGAGATGGATGACTTTAATAGAAAGTTTGGCACCAGACACACGTTCATTGAAAACACAAGTCAGCAGCTACTGGGCCAGAGCCAAAGTCTCCTATCCTCCAAGAGGCAAAAGAGAGTGAGATAATAAGAGTGAATACATGTCTCTCTCCTCCACAGGCACAATGGAAGTCTTTTTTCTCCCATTTATTCTTCCATATAGCAGCAGCTGAGCACACTTGAGTTAGATCTGCTGGTCATCACATCACAACTTGAGAAGATGGGAAATGAGTTTTTTTCAGTCACAGGTCAAGGCTTACCAATGCTACTACGATCAAGGCCAACTTTCCTTCATCATTTGGGTTTCTGAGGTTTCCTCCTCTCTCCTCCCATTAAAGTATACTTACACTATAGTTATTGCTTATTTTTGCATGTCTGCTCACAAATCGATAAGGGGGGTTGACTAACTTTTATATTTGAGCTATATTTTTAATATATGCCTAAAAGTTTCCTAGACATGACTTCTCCATTGGTATTCTTGTGAAATTTTAGATCAAAAGCATGAAGAGAATTACCTCTTCAGAGCTAATCATGTTTATACTCTCAACTAATGGCCCTTGTGCTTATATAACATAGACATACGGAAGTCTATATGAGCAGTTTGAAGAATGCCATGGATTTCTTTGTCCTTCTAAAAGAAGGAATTTAAAATATTTAAAGTCACAGAGGCCCCAGCAACAATTTTATTTCTGTTTTGCAATCATTAACGTGATGCTGCTGACTCCAAATTATATGTTCCAAAGGGGTGCTCCCCGATAATTGAAAGCCTTACATTTCCTCAGTATTTTTGAAAGTGCTATCTGCAACAATGAGTCATCATCTACTGCAGCACAACATCCTGTTCTTTTCATGCCTCTGCAGCCCTTTAAAAAGAGAAGTACTATCTTTTAATGGCACACACAATTCCCTGCACTGCCTGGCTGCAAAAAATAATTAATCATTGTTTATCATGCTTAATGAAACTACCTGTAAACATGACAGCAGAGATTTTCATTATTTTATATGAACCTTAAAAATAAGTTACCCTTTTCTAAATTTATCATATGATTGTAGTATTATTATTCCCTGCAGTGTTATCATCCTGGCCAGCAAACAGTAAGCAATTCATACTGAAAAGAATATATCTTTTCAGGTAGTTCATTGTCATTTCCTTATTTCTAGCATCAGAAATGTTACATCAAATGTACGTTTGTAAGCTGTATTCTACTTCCTTCCCATCCAGCTGCCAGTTTCTCCAACAATAACAAATTTACAGATTAGATCCTGTCACTGTCACTGCATCCACCAAGGCAGCACCCCATCTCTAGGGACTGGCGCCAATGGGTATATCTTCATGTCAGTTATACTGTATAAATGCATGCCTTAGTAGCACTGCTGGAGGTTTCTTAAAAAAAAATCATTTTCCTCACTTTAACGCATCCTCCGTTGCCACGAATCTTACTCTAGTGATACGTCAAACTCTTCAACAATTCAGTTAATAGAAGATAATATAGTCTGAATTAATTTACGCAAATGACAAAATGTTCTCTCGTTTAAAAGTTCTCTCTTTTATTTAGTATTATAGACTCTTCCCCAAGGAATCTGTATTTCTCTGAATATAAATACAGCCATAACATTTAGCCTGTTGCTTTTGAAAAAGTTACCGATTCTGTAAGTAAAGTTCATTTCCTCAGCTTTTACAATACAATGGACCGGTACAATAAAATGCCATATTCCTCTCACCTGCTTTGGAGTCACCCCAGGCATGCGAATGTCCAATGCAAAATCTGTCAGACCAAGAGGAATCACTGGCCTGTTGTTTCCAAGGCATTCATTAGAAAGAGACCTGGTGGTATCTTTATACCTGTAAAAGAAGGAAAAGATTGTTTCAATATCCTGATTAGAAGTGATTTAAAAGTTAAAAAAAATACAGAAAAACAACTCAGATTTACAGAATCTGATTTTCAGAAGACCTAAGGAAGCTTGACACCTAACTCCCACTGACTTTCAATCTAATTTGGTCACCAAGTTCTCTATATTCAGTCACTGAATTTTTTGGAGACATTCACATGGATAACTTTAAAAGACTGAACCATGTAAATAAGCATACCATAAAAATCAACCATTATATATATACGTAAAAAATGTAAGGTAAATGCATATATGGACATATTTTCTCACCATGCCAAAACATATCACATACTGCTGCTATTCATTTTGGATAAACAACTATACATAGTTCTAAAATTGAGTTAAAGTTTGACCAAAATAAAATTTCAGTTTTTCCCTATCCTTCACGTTTGGAGGATTTCAATTCTAGAAGTGCAATGGTTAAGTTACAACTGGTTGCTTATCTACCTATAATATCTTCCAAGCCAGCAAACAACAGTACAAGTTACAACTCGGTACATAGGCATCAGTGGGGTCTATAATGAGTGCTTCATACAATTGATAAAAGGCAAATATTTAACTAACTGCTAAGCAAAACCATAAGGCAAAAACATCTGAAATGTGATGCAAACTGACTGATTATTTAACTTGGTAATCATGGGGTATGCACTGTGTATACAGTGCTGTGTTTTTGAGCTCTCTCAGTTTATTTCCACCCACCCCTCTTCCACATACACACTACCCCCAAAGTTCACTTACTTAACTTGGTATTCAAGACTTAAATAAAAACAGATTCCCGATTTTAAACCAGTTGATTCATTTCACCAAAAAGATACCAGTTCAGCCAGCATGCAGGTACAATATATTTGTTCACTGTAGTCTCAAAAACACCTATGGTTATATGCAAATCTCAATACATAGTTTTATCCATTTGTTATGTGGATGATCCATATTTTAAAACACCACTGTAATAGTACAATAGGTTTCCTATCTTCCAAGACTCTGGTATAGCAAATGTAATTTCAAGAACTGCAGACAATTTCAGTTCAAAAGTTAGCTACAAAGCAAAGCAATCTATTTTGTCAATAAATAATTTTAGGTAGTAGATACTTTTTAGAACTTGCACTATTCAAAGTGGTTGCATCACTACGAAGCACGCATTGAAAACATCAAAGATATTTTCTGCATAACCCACCTCTTAAAGACAGAAAGTGGACTTCTGTAACCCAAACAGCTGTTTTGAAACACAAGGAACAGTATTAGCAGGTTGTTAACGAGGCCAGCCATGTCCACCCTGCTGTTCCTGGCCCGATTAAGGGAGCAGAAAAAGGGCAGTGCGGCTCTATCGGCTGTGATCCTGACAATTAGGCAGCAGCAGCAGTATCAATTCACTACTTCATTATTGTGTGCTCTGCAGGCTTCCTACAGCTTTTGACAGACCATCTGTCTTGGAAGGTGATGCACTGTAAATCAGGAAGGTGGATGATGCTATGTTGTCTTTATTAGCTGCAAAAATCAGTTGAGGAATCTTCCTTTGCAGATAGGTGACACTGTACTTTTTTGTCCAGTTAAGGAGCTGAAGCGAAGTGGTACTCCTGATGCTTTCCCCTTGCTGTACTGCTAAGCCTGCAGGTTACTTATCAATCCACAGTGACAGAGGCTCCAAGTGGCATCACAGAAACCAGCCTCAGTCATCCTTCAGAACCTGTAAAAATAGAAGCAGATAAAGAATGACTAACACATTACAGCATTAGTCCTCAGCAAATCCCTGCTGAGGCTTTTTAATACATTAGTACTTTCATAAGCTTTAGCCCAACCCAATGAAGAATGCACCAAGTCTTGTTGATCTCTTGCTCCCTGGCATATACTAATACAGAAGAAATTAAAAATCCTACATTTTTTAGGTTGAGCAAGTTAGTCAAAAGCAAGATGCCAAGTAGCATGTGAAAAGATAAATACGTACTTGGAACCAGCAACTTATCAAGAAAAAGATACAAGAAAAGCATGTTATATTTTATATACCTATGTACACACACAGTTTTGTAATCTGATAAACATGCTAGCAGAAAAAGAACTAATGACAACCATTAAGGGTTATAAATAAAAATGTTTTATTATATTGAAGATGTTATGTTTTATTATATCTGCAGCTATTGAAAATTTAGAAAATCAAAATGCTTCATATCACAACAAAATCTTTAACACACAGCAGAATGGTACCCTGTTCATTCAATATGTTATTGAAATATGAAATAATATCCACTTTAAGGTTTTTTTATGTACTGCATGTATCAATTAGCTGAGAAAGGACAAAGGGTTTAGTGAAAAGTTACTTTAGGAACATTAATAGGTGTCTGATAACAAAATGTAATGCAGGCAGATAAACCAGGCTTGTATAAATTAAATTAATATTTGGATATCTTGTATGTTAGTGCAATATTGGCCAATATTATTTACTCCTTGTTTTAATAACTTTAGGTGATGAGGTTCTTATCTTTCTTTTTTATTTGACTAATTTTTAGCAAGATTAGGACATGTCACGATGAAATAATGGGCAATAATGCAGCTGCTTGCTAGGTTGTTTTCTCCCACAAACATTCTGGGGTGGGAGGGAGGTGTTCTATAATGAATTTTTCACTCCTAGAAGGTAAACATCCCATCTTAAATACAGTACAAAGGGTTTTAAAGTATGATTCACAGCTTTCAATAAAACAAACGTGAAAGAATAAACTATTCATCAGTCACAAGAGAGACAAATCAGATACTAGTTAAGAAGACTCATAAAACAAAGTACAGAACTGAAGACCAAAATAAAGAATTTAAATGCCAAACAAGAGTTCTGAAATTAAACATTCAATTTAAATCACTGTTAAATGGTTTCCATGCCAATATGATCCAGATAACATGAAGTGAATAGACATCTAAATGAAACAAGAGTGCTCAAATGGACACTAAAAGCCACTCTGGCGACTTGCCAGTTGCTTGATGGTTACACCCGATTTGCATTCAATTCTTTATACAAAATATCAAAATACAGAATCTTTTCATTTCATGACAAGGTAATGGGCATCACCCATGACTTTCTCCTTATGAAGAGGGGGACATAAATTTATGTACATTAGCAGCGATGCACACTTTTTTCTTTTTCTTTCTTTTTTTTTTTTTAAGCTAAAATAACATTTTCTACCCTTAATTTTGTGATGCAAGCAAACTTTAACGGTAAACTGAAGGGATGCAAAAGTAAAACATAGGGACCTCTAGTACTAAAATTAGCAACATCCATCGAAACAAGACATGTGAGAGCAATACCTTAGACAAAGATTAAACCCATCAAGAGAATGCGGAGAATGCCATAAACTGAAATTTGAAGTGTACAGTTATGCATTAATAACTGCAAAGCATCTCCACGGTCCAACTGACTGAGAATTCTAGTATAACATCTAAATCGGACATTCTTTAAAAAGCATTTGTGCCTATGTGCTTCAACTTAAATTCAAAGTTTAATAAGATATCTTTTATGAAAAACAATTATAGCATTTTGTCCTCTTCAGAGTGAGGCT